TCTTTCAGCAACCCTACAAGGAGATGCTCTCGATTGGCTTCGACAATGGGATCAAACTGCCCAAGGCCAACGACAAAAGGATGCCCTCTTAAATAATTTCGATAAAATCGATGGTGTTTTACGAGGTTTTGTCAAAATCCTTAAAGAAGAATTGGTTGGACATACCGGTGAACAACTCCTCACTGATGATGCAACCTGTGCTCTTTCGAAAATCGAATTATGCAACATTTGCCAATTTCCAGAATACGTCAAGCTATTTACCAAATACTTCCGTAGACTCCTACCCAATGCTATCGAACATTGGTTACCCCAATTCTTTCATAAACTTCCAAATCCATGGGATGAACTCGCAGCCAAAGGCTATCCCGATTTCCTTGTCCGAATCCAGAAAACCGATAACATTGGTTTCCGTACAAATTTTGTTTATCGTCTCATCAATGCAAAATGTCTTGAGACAAAAGCCAAAAAACAGGTTAAAAACCAGATCAATGGCACTGCTGAAGGTCAACGCTGTTGCGATAAGATTCTCCAAGAAACCTGGAAAATCGGATGTGCGCCTTATAAAGCTACGCCATCTCGACCTGCCCAACGAAAAACATTTCGCTAGAAAAAATGGAAAGGACGGCGCCCTAAAGCCTCAAAGAAGTATGTTACACAAGCTACTTCTCCAAAACCCACTCAGGGGTCAAAGAAGAAAGGCAAAGGAACCAAAACCAAAAAATCCTCCAAGGCTTCTAAATCCATTGAAACAAAAAAGGATTGTAAATGTTTCATTTGCAATGAAGCTGGTCATTATGCCACTACCTGCCCGCAAAAAGGCAAAAAGGCTTAAAAAATGGTTAAAAGATTACAGACAGATAACCTCTGTGTTGTCTATGGTAGCGAAATCACCGACCCCACTACCATCCTGTATGAACTCTCAAGTAGCGTTTATACCAGTAGCTCTTCCAGTACCACCACCAGTGATACCGAAGAAGACACGGATCTTGAAAATATCTGCATGATGAACGTTACTCCTTCCCTCCCCGATGAAAACACTAACATTAAGCTTAGCGACATCATTGGCGAAGAAGTTCAGTTCACAAACGAACAATTGATTCAGTTCGATAAACTTCAGCGAATCAAGAAAGAAGAAGTTTATAAAACTTCGCGTTTTGCCATCTTTTCCAAACGAATTTTAGAACAATTCAGTGGCAATACAACCATCGACTATACCGCAAATGGTCAATGTGGTTTTAATATCCTTAACAAGGATAAAGTTGAGCGTTGGAAACAACAAAATCCTGTCGCTCGCTATATTCATATTGGATTAGTTCAAATCAAAATCACTTCTCTGTTTCGACGAGGAACTGATCAACCGCTCGTGGCACTCCTCATGGACAACCGTTTTCATAAACCCGTTGATGCACTTATCGGCGGTGTTCAGTCCAACTTGGTCAATAACCTTATTTGGTTCAAAATCAAACCAAATTTTTTCATTTCTCTTTCTGACCCGAACATTGAAAAGGTCCTTCAAGTCAAACTCCAGTTGTCAAAACTACAAATGGATTATGACTCCCCTAGTCTTGGAATACAGTGGAAAGTTCTCTATGAACTCACCCGAGAACCAGAAACAGCTACTGTTCCTACACTGGACTCAAAACTAGTCACTTTGTTTGAACCAAGACCATTTGATACCATAATTGAGCCGAAACTCCTCAATTGGACAGATCTAGAGATCCCTAAAACTTGGTTATTTGATAACATCAATCATGTACCCAAGTTACGCATTACAGAACCAACTGTTGCAACGATTCATGCCTCCGGCTCAAATCTTTATGTTACGAATAAAGCAAAGCCACTTCAGATACAACGATCCGCTTCCGAAAGAAATCCTGGATGGGAACGACACCTTCCCCCAAGAACCTCAGTCGATATACCCCCTCGACGACGTTTCACCTGGACGGAAAAAGGCAAAGCTCCTGTTGACCCCAATGGCAATGCTCCCTTTTTGCCTGGTTCGAATCATCGAATGAATTCAGCAAAATTCTTCCATTTTCGCACAGGAAATGATGAAATTTTACTCGCTCCTTCTCAAGGAAAAAAGCGTAAGTATACGTATGTCAACGGTATCTTAAACTTCAAAGGATATAAACCATATAGCCTTTGTGTTTTAATAGATACAGGCGCGACTACCAGTTGTTGTCGTTATAATGCTCTACCTTCCGAAAAATGGCAGCAAATGAAACACCCTATTGGAGTTCAAGGCATCGATGCTGAAGCACCCCTGAATGTTATTCAGTTTAAAGCAAAAGATGTTGCTATCTGGCTTAATGATAAAAAATTCATTATCCCAAAAATACTTTGCTTTCCCTACATGCATGGTGATTTCATTTTAGGATGTAACTTTATCTATAGTTATCTTCCTTTACAGTTAAATGAAAAAACCATTTCTTTAACTCTCAAAGATCAAACAGTCGTTGAAATCCCTATTCAGGAAAATCTAGCCTCTGTTTGTAACGAAAAGTTCTCTCCACCCAAAAGAGACTCAGATTTACTGGTTCTAAACGAAACCCATTGGCTGTACTCATCTCTCCGCCAAAACTTCTCAGAAAATCCACTTACCCTGTGGAAACGAAGTCCTCGATTTTGTCGGCTTCAACTCAAAAATCGCAATGTCGTCATTCGTGTTAAACCAATGATCTACCTGAGAAGGGACATTGATGAATTTGATGCACAACTTCAGGACCTCCTTGAGAAAAAACTCATTGAACGCACCCGCAGTCCACATAGCAGTCCTGCCTTTATGGTTAGAAACCATAGTGAAGTTAAACGTGGAAAAGCCCGCATGGTCATCAACTATAAACGGCTCAATGAACATCTAATTTTCGATGGATACTTTATCCCACGCAAAGATGTTCTCATTAATCAAACTCGTGGATCTACAATCTTTAGTAAGTTTGATTGTAAAGCAGGCTTTTGGCAGATCAAACTGCGAAAGAAGTCAAAACCTCTTACGGCGTTCAGTACTCCTCACGGCCACTATCAATGGACCGTTATGCCTTTTGGTCTTAACACAGCACCACAAATCTATCAGCGCTGGATGGACTCTATCTTTAATGATCTTAAAGATTTTGTTGTTGTTTACATAGATGATATTTTAGTTTTCTCTAAATCCAATTGACACATTTGTAGTAGGGGTGACAAATGGGGGGTTGGGCCGGGTTGAAAATGAGTGGGTTAAACATGGGGTTAAGACCCATATTCAATTCGTTCAAAACGGGTTGAAGATGGGCAGGTAAAAAATATATAGGGTCAACCCGTTATGACCCGTTGACCCATTAATTATTATTATTTTTCAGAAGGTTTTAAAATTTTATTTAATAACAAATAAAAAAACGCAATCTCAAACTCAGCAATATTTATCAACTCGTTTTAGAAAGAGTGAATAAGAGAAGAAATATTGATGTTTTAAAAATAGAATTTTGATGTCTACAAACATGAAAAAAAATTATATATATTGTCTCGTGAAACTCGACTGACCCGCCCAAAATATTGATGTTTTAAAAATAAATTTTTCTTAAAAACTTCGATATTTACAAACACGGAAAAGGAAAATGTAATTTGCATATTTGAAATATATATATATATATATATATATTGTGACCCATGAAACCCAACTGACCCGTCCAAAATATTGATATTTTAAAAATAAAATGGAAAAGGAAAATGTAATTTGCATATTTGAAAAAAAAAAAAAAAAATGACCCGTGAAACCCGGCCAACCCGCTCAAAATATTGATGTTTTAAAAATAAAATTTTCTTAAAAACTTTGATGTTTACAAACATGGAAAAGAAAAATGTAATTTGCATATTTGGAAGAAAAAAAAAATGACCCGTGAAATCCAATCGACCAGCCCAGCCCAAAATATTGATGTTTAAAAAATAAAAATTTTGATGTTTACAAACTTGGAAAAGGAAAATGTAATTTGTACATTTGTTAAAAAAAAAAATTGACCCGTGAACCCGCCCGACCCGTACCAAAATATTGATGTTTTAAAAATAATTTTTTTTAAAAATTTTGATGTTTACAAACATGGAAAAGGAAAATGTAATTTAAATATTTGAAAAAAAAAAAAAAAAACTGACTTGTGAAACCCGACCGACCCGCCCAAAATATTGATGTTTAAAAAATATAAGTTTTCTTAAAAATTTTGATGTTTACAAAGTTGGAAAAGGAAAATGTAATTTGTATATTTGTGTAAAAAAAAAAAAAAAAAAAAAACAAAGGTTCGTGAAACTCAATCGTCTCGCCCAAAATATTGACGTTTTAAAAATAAATTTTTTTAAAAAATTTTGATATTTACAAACATGGAAAAGAAAAATGTAATTTACATATTTGGGGAAAAAAAAAAAGACCCGTGAAACCAACCCAAAATATTCGGGCAGGCCAACCCAACCCGTTTTCGGGTTGAGGTCGGGTAGGGACTCGGCTGTGTTGGGCCAGCCTAACTTGCAACCCTAATCGTGAGTGAGTGAATTTTAGAGAGAGAAATGAGCTGAGTGTATTGTGTGTTTATTATGTGCTAAGTGAAATATGGGTAATCATATTCAATCTATTTTGACTCTCAAATTAAGTGGTTAAAAATTATCCAACTCATTTTTGACTCATCTTAAATATGGTTTACCCAAAATTATTAAAAAGCGGATGGATATAAACGAATTGATGGTTTCTGACCCATTTTGTCACCCCTAATCTGTACGCATTTTGTCACCCCTAGTCTGTAGTCACATTAATTAACAAAAACAAAAGTGAATTAAATAACTCTTGGCCTTCAACAGAAAAAGTCAATAGAAAACAATGACGCCGTTTTACCAAGTCACGAAATCCATTTTACCAAGAAAAAGGAAAATACCACGAAATCCATTTTACCAAGTCCATTTTCTGGATCGAGTGAAGAAACAACGACGCCGTTTGAAATAACTTGTCTTTAAACATTTGCTGATTCAAAGTCATAGAAAAGCAACTTCGCCGCAAAGTAAAGAAGAGCACCTGAAAACATGGAAACCTATAAAGAAGCAGGAGGAGAACAGAGGAAGAGGTCTCTCTCTCCTCTTTCTCTTTCTCTTTCTCTTTCTAAAACTCGGAGCTTGACTCGGTGAGCCAGAGAGAAATATGGGTCAGGAATTGTTCATATACAGCTTCGTGGCTCGGGGCACAATGGTACTGGCCGAGTACACCGAGTTCACTGGGAACTTCCCGGCGATTGCGACTCAGTGCCTCCAGAAACTTCCTTCCAACAACAAAAACTTCACCTACAACTGCGATCACCACACCTTTAACTTCCACGTTGAGGACGGTTACGGTAATTCCTCATTTGCCCCCGATCTCTTCGTTTTCTAGTATTTTCCTGTGCATTTTCTTGAGAAACAAACAGATTAAATGTGGGATTTCCAAGTGAGTGTAGTTGGATCTAGACCCTATTGGGTACTAAAACCATAACTCGCGGAGATGATTTGTACTTAATTTGCTAGTCCAACCAAGAAAAATCCAAAATTGCTGTGTTCTGTTTACACTTTATTGGTAATTTTTTAGTGTTCCGTTTGGTTGATGAGAAAACTGATGAAAACAGAAAAGATAACTAAACCGGATTCTGAAAAGAAATGTAAATCTCAATTCCACCAGCCAATTCAGTTGTGTTATGCTCATTTGAGTGTGAGACTACTCCTTTTTGGCTTCACTAACAATGTCTCTCTCTCTACACACAGAGGATCCTATATGTTCACATAGGGTTTGTAGTTTATATTGCTGGTCATCCTTTGGAAAACAAGCTAAAAATTTGGGTTCGTATAGGCATGGGTTATAGTTTGAACGAATGTAATTATAAGCGAATGTGTTTTAAAGTTCAAGAAACTATCGGGGTGGCTTAAAGTTAGTCAGATAGACTTATGGATTTCATAAATATCTATATAGAGCGTTTAGTTGATGAAGTTAAATGCATAAGCATGCGTATGGATATCAATTGAGAGAGTAAAGCATTACCTATTATGATGAAAATTGTAAATTTGTGATCAATCTTATAATTACCAATTGCAAACCAATTAACCAAATATTTGGAGAAGTAGCTTGTGTAACATACTTCTTTGAGGCTTTAGGGCGCCGTCCTTTCCATTTTTTCCAGCGAAATGTTTTTCGTTGGGCAGGTCGAGATGGCGTAGCTTTATAAGGCGCACATCCGATTTTCCAGGTTTCTTGGAGAATCTTATCGCAACAGCGTTGACCTTCAGCAGTGCCATTGATCTGGTTTTTAACCTGTTTTTTGGCTTTTGTCTCAAGACATTTTTCATTGATGAGACGATAAACAAAATTTGTACGGAAACCAATGTTATCGGTTTTCTGGATTCGGACAAGGAAATCGGGATAGCCTTTGGCTGCGAGTTCATCCCATGGATTTGGAAGTTTATGAAAGAATTGGGGTAACCAATGTTCGATAGCATTGGGTGGGAGTCTACGGAAGTATTTGGTAAATAGCTTGACGTATTCTGGAAATTGGCAAATGTTGCATAATTCGATTTTCGAAAGAGCACAGGTTGCATCATCAGTGAGGAGTTGTTCACCGGTATGTCCAACCAATTCTTCTTTAAGGATTTTGACAAAACCTCGTAAAACACCATCGATTTTATCGAAATTATTTAAGAGGGCATCCTTTTGTCGTTGGCCTTGGGCAGTTTGATCCCATTGTCGAAGTCGGTGATTTCGCTACCATAGACAACACAGAGGTTATCTGTCTGTAATCTTTTAACCATTTTTGAAGCCTTTTTGCCTTTGGGTCAAACTGTTTAAGTGTAAGATTCCATACAATATGCCCCGACAGGTTATGATTTGGCTGTTCTTTGTGCATATCCTATATCTCTGTACCTTTTCTTTCTTTAATAGGCAATATCTATCCGTTTGCTTTACCACTTTGTTGTTTTTATTCTGGTATCTTAGTTTTCCTCGTTTAGCACCGGCAGATAGCTCAAGCAAGTTGTTACCAATTTTAATATTAGTCATTCTATGGTTAGGGACCTTGCTTTATCCACATGAGTGCCTTTTCTAGTAAATCAATGTCAACAAGTGACACTTTTGTGGCGCATTGACTATTTGCAAATTAACATCCCTGTGTGAAGCTATCAAATATTAAGATTACATATGTGGTAAGTTAGCAGTCGAAAAGAAAAAGTTACGTCAAGTCAAAATTATAACTTATAAGGGACGAGCCATGGAAGCAGAGTTTTGGTCTGTGTGACAATATGTGTCTTATATGACTTGGTTCTTTCCATTTGTTAGCAATTTACGTCTTTTTAATGCCCATTTACTTTACACAGCATATTAATTTTACAAATGGTAAAAATATAAGTTAAGTAGCCAATGTGATAAAATTGTTGCAGTCAAAGCAAGGTTCACAATATAATGAGTCAAACTATAATTGGCAATAGCGTATGTGAACTATTCATTGTTATGTACTTGTGTTCCGTACCATTATTAGTATTGGTCTTTTAAGTTTTCCATTTGGTTGCTGAGAAAACTATAAAAAACGAAAAGAAAAAAAAAATTGGATTTTTCTAGATCTTTATATTGTGCCGTGCTGTTTTGTTTTGACGAAAGTGAAAAGATCAACTCAGCTAAGCCAAATAAGTTTATTTTACTCAGCTGCCTGAGTTGTTTTTTTTTATTTTTTATTTTTTTATTTTTTATCTCTCTTGCATACCATTTTTAAACTTCCTTGTTCTTATGGTCTCCAGCATTTTCTTCACAGCCAAATGAACCTAGGTGTTATTCTTTTCTATTCCCCCTCCCTCCCCCCCTAATCGTTCCAAATGAACCGACATGCTTTGAATGAGGGACTTTCTCTGTTTAGTATTGTTATATTAAGCTTTGAGCTGCATGCGACTTCCTTTTTCTACCAGGAGACTTCCTTTTTGGGATGCATTCCCCGTTTGAACGCTTTCTAATACAATCTTATATATAAATAATAATAATAATAATAAAACTTGTTTATTTATTTAGCAGAAGAATATAATTATGCATAGAGGGAAGGAATTTGATTTGTTTCTTGGTTGGGTTAATATCACTACTTTTTTTTTTTTTTTTTTTTCTCCCTTTTCTACAGGTGCATATCCCGGTATTCGGGTAAGATTTATTGTTTGGGCTATAATGCTATATGCCCATTGTTGCTGCAAAAGTGTTAAAGAAATTGCATCTATTGGCCATTAAAAGTAAACACATTAGTTGAGACTCTTACAGCAGCAATAGTTTGAGATGAAATGAGAGCAAATTAAGATGATTTGTGTTGAACTAATACCAATTTGCTACTAACAGAGGGTGATATAGTACTTTACATTAAAAGAAACCCTAGGGAAGGGGTGAAACATTTTATTAGATTGACGTTAGTAAAGAATGACATTGTAGCATGTGGTTTAATAAAATTTATGGCGTTATTATAGAGTGGGTTGGTGGAATATATTTAACACAGTGAACCTCAAACAATTGTACTAAAGCTAAAATAGGAGGGGCTGGTGAAATGAATTCAACACAGTGAACCTCAAACTATTGTACGAGGCTTTAGTGAGTTGAACTGAGTTGTTGCATCAAAAGGACATGGAAGTAGGCTAAGTAGCCAAAAATAATTTTGGCAATAACATTTACATATTGAATATATATTTTTTAGGGCTGGGGCAAGTTCATATGCTTTCTCGAGATCAGCTTGAGAGATATGAGCCAAGCTTGCTGGTTTGGCTCGTTGACAACTTTATTTTTAAGCATAGTATTCATGCTTCTATTGTGTCAAAACCAATCTGGATTCAATCATAGAGTTGTGGAGTTTCGTACTTAACCCTCTTGATGTGATGATTGTTGAACTTTGCAGCTTACTGTGTTGTTGCCAAAGAGTCTGTGGGGAAGCAGATTTCTATTGCATTTTTGGAACGTATGAAGGCAGACTTCAAACAAAGGTATGGTGGTGGTAAAGCAGATACAGCTGTTGCCAAAAGTCTTAATACGGAATTCGGGTATGTTTAATCAAGAAAGTTTTGAACATTGAAATGTTGATATCCCTATTCATTTGGTAAGTACTAAGAAGCAGATTTCTACAGACCAATTATGAAAGAGCACATGCAGTACATAATTGATCATGCTGAAGAGATTGAGAAGCTAGTAAAAGTGAAGGCTCAAGTTTCAGAAGTTAAAAGTGTCATGTTGGAAAATATCGACAAGGTATGTCAAACACATTGGAGAAATATAGGGGTGTGATTTATGTGCTTTTGGTTGGTTTTATATATATATCACATTATTTATTCATGCATTCCTTTTTCTACTTAAATAGCTTATTGCATAATCGAATTGTTTAATAATTGAAATTGAGCTCCCACTCTGAAGTTATAAGCTTTTTTTTTTCTCTAATTGGTTATATCAGAATAGAGCGTCAATGACATATAATAACTAATGTAGCAAGGAAGATAAGTAAGAATGAATGCTGCGAAGTACGCTATTATTGATGATCAATTATACAGAAGGTCCTTCACTGGGCTTTATCTGAAATGTTTGAATGCAAAGGAGGCAAAGGCGATCCTTTCTGCAATCCACGAAAGAGTGTGCGACTCTATCTATCTAATCACAGTGGAAAGCAAGGGCATGTCAAGCTTCAGGCAACTGATAAAGGATTCAGTATAGTTGGCTGTGATAGTGTAGTAGTTCTATCTCCCCTTATTTTCCTCCCACCCCAAAAGAAAAACTTCCGTTCTTCCATTTATTTGTTCCAAAACATTCAACCACGTAAAGATTCTGCGTGTCTATGCACCTTAGGCTAATTCTGCAGCGGTTGAAAGCAACCATCAGAAGAATGGAGATTGAAAATCATGCCCATCTCCCTGTTTTTGGATGTGAGCTTTTGCTTCCAGAGAATGAAACTCAACTCAACTAGGTACTTGCCCCTTTTATCTAGGGTTGTGTACATGCATCCTGATTCACCATTCCACTCACTTTTGGATCACTCTTATGTTATATTATATTTGAGCATCTTTCTCCAACATCATACTTTCCTTGACCTAGCAGCAGTTTAATTTCTTTCTTCAGACTCAATAGCTGATTTATGGTTGTATGGTTTGCTGTACTGGGTGAGAAAACCCAAATACCTACTATGCAAATCGAACTCTCCATTATAAAGAGCTCAACTCTGAGAAAGAAAAAACTATGAAAACCAACATGATAGGAGACTAGCAGTCTTGCCTTAAGTCATGTCAAAACTAGAGAAAAATAGGGAGAAAAATCTTACGATACTTTTATTCTTCTCACAAGGAGGTATATATACTATACACATATTACTTACCAAAAAAAAAAATACTATACACATATTAAACATATAAGGTAAGTATTAAGTTTACAAAGTTAGCTCTAATCAACTACGCTAATTATGCTAATAGATGAAAGGTAAATCCTAATCAATCACGTTAACACTCTCCCTCAAGTTGGTGCATAGATGTCTTGCATGCCCAACTTGTCGATTGAAGAAGTATTGAAACTTCAACTTGATACTGCCTTTGTCAAAATATCTGCTAGCTGGCCCTCGGTCTTTACAAAAGGCAACCTAATTATTCCACCTGTTAGTTTCTCTTTGATATAGTGCCTATCTACCTCAACATGCTTGGCACGATCATGTTGAACTGGGTTATGTGATAATGGCAGCCTTGTTATCACATTAAAGACTCATAGGTTTCAAGGGACATAAACCCAATTCACCCATCAAGATCTTCATCCATAGCAGTTCTTGAACCCCATGGGCCATAGCTCTGAATTCTGCTTCTGCACTTGATCTAGCTACCACATGTTGCTTCTTACTCCGCCAAGTTACCAAGTTTCCACCTACGAAAGTAATGTATCCAGAAGTTGATCTTCTATCAGTTATTGATCCACCCCAATGAGCATCTGTGTAACCCTCAACCTCTAAATGTCCATGTTTAGAAAACATTAAACCTTTACCAAGAGCAGATTTTAGATACCAGAGAATCCGACATACAACATCCATGTGAGCTTCACTAGGTCCATGCATAAACTGACTCACCACACTAACCGCATAGGCGATGTCAGGGTATGTATAAGATAAGTAGATTAGTTTCCCAACTAGCCTTTGGTATCGTTCCTTATTTGTGGGAACTTGATCTGGATATTCCCCCAACTTGTGGTTTTGCTCAATTGGAGTATCTGCTGGTTTGCAAGCTAGCATCCCAGTTTCAGTCAACAAATCCAAGACATACTTCCTTTGGGACAGGAAAATACCATGCTTTGATCTGGTCACCTCAATACCCAAAAAAATATTTCAGAGTACCCAAATCCTTCATCTCAAATTCCTTTGCTAAATAATTCTGGAGTTTTCTAACCTCTTTGTCATCGTTACCAGTAACCACCATATCATCCACATAAACTATTAATGCAGTAATCTTGTCCTTATTTCTCTCGAGAAATAGAGTATGATCAGCTTGAGTCTGTTTGAATCCATAGTTTTTCATTGATTGTGTGAACTTATCAAACCATTCCTTCGGAGATTGTTTAAGTCCATACAAGGACTTTCATAACTTGCACACCTTATCCACATCACAAGAAGTAGTATACCCTGGAGGAGGATTCATGTAAACTTCCTCGTCCAACTCTCCATGTAGGAAAGCATTTTTCACATCAAACTGATGTAGAGGCCAATCTAGATTTGTAGCTAAGGACAAGAGGGCCCGGATGGTGTTCATTTTGGCCACTGATGCAAAATTTTCTTGGTAATTAATCCCATAGGTTTGTGTATAACCTTTAGCCACTAGTCTGGCCTTATATCTATCAATGGAGCCATCTTCCTTATGCTTCACGGTGAACACCCATTTGCAACCTACAGTTTTCTTACCCTCCGGTAGTTTAACCATATCCCAAGTAGAATTTTTCTGAAGAGCTTTCATTTCCTCAGTCATAGCACTTCTCCATTTAGGATTGCGAAGAGCGTCCTGTACACTATTAGGAATGGACACAGAGGACAATTGATTTGCAAAAGCATCATATGAATTAGACAACCGATGAGATGATACATAATTGGATATAGGATATTGGACAACATTACCAGATAAAAAAGTAAACCGTTTAGGAAGTTTACCCCGATTAGGACGAACAAGATAATGAGAACCTTGAGATTCATTTTGTATCTCAAAATGGCCTGCTGAGACTGCTGGGATATCAACGTTAGACTCAAAGGAAAGGTTAGGCTCAAGAGAAGAAGGAATAGTAGGAATTACCTCCTGATGATCTTCAGGAATATCCTTAGAAGGAGCCGTTTGGTCTGATGGTTTAAGAGGGGAGTCTGCCGAACCTGTCTGAGTGCCTTCCTCATTATCTTTTTGATTATCCATATGTACCTTTTTTCTTTTCACATACACTCTTAACTCTTTCTCCTTCTTTTCAGGTACTATCTTTGTCCTTTGCACAGTTGGTATTTCATCCAAAAAAGACTTCTCTTCTAACCGACTCCCAATCTCCCCTGAAGAGAAGTATCAGTAACTCCCCCTGAAAAATAGGCTTCTTTCTCACAGAAGGTAACATCCATATAAACAAAGAGTTTACGGGTAGGATGAAAACAATGATATCCTTTCTGGGTAGCAGAATAACCCACAAAGATACACTTCAAGGCACGGGGATCCATCTTACCCCGTTGATGCGGGTGAACATGGACAAAACTAACACATCCAAAGACCTTAGGAGGAATGTTAAGACGGGAAGGAAGAAACTGATATCGAGACAAGGCTTAGAGAGGTGTTTGAAACTGGAGAACGCTGGATGGCATGCGATTTATAAGAAATGCAGCCGTGAGTACTGCATCACCCCAAAAAATTCTGGGAACACGCATAGCAAAGCATAAAGATCAAGCCACCTCTAGGAGATGGCAATTTTTACGCTCAGCTATACCATTCTGTTGAGGGGTAGAGACACATGAAGTCTGATGAACAAGGCCATGTTGTTGGAAGTAGGCACCAAAAGTATGTTTGATATACTCTCATCCATTATTAGATCTGATCACTTGTATGGAAGCATTAAATTGTGTACAAAGCATTTGGTGGAAAATTGGAAAAATAGAAGCCACATCACTTTTATTCTTCATCAAATAAACCCAAGACACTCTTGTGCAATCATCAATAAAAGAAACAAACCATTATGCACCAGTGTGAGAAGGAACCGAAAGCGAACCCCAAACATCAGTATGAATGAGTGCAAAAGGGACATCACTTTTATTAAAACTTAAAGGGAATGAAACACGATGGTGTTTTGCTAAAATGCAATGTTAACACTGAAAATCTGAAAGAGAAACTTTAGAGAATAACGAAGGAAATAAACGTTGCAAATAAGGAAAAGATGGATGTCCCAGTCTTCGATGCCATAACCAAATCTCTTCTTTAGCCTTAGATTCCTCTACTCCAACTTGGTACATTTGCGCAACCTTGGAACCAGTTGAAGCACTCAAATCCAAGTAGTACAGGCCCCTCTCTCCCTACCAAGACCAATCGTTTTCTTCGTAAGAATATTCTCAAAAACACAATGGGTAGGGAAAAATGTTACACAACAATTTAGATTCTCAGAAATTTGACTTATGGAGAGTAAATTATTAGAAAGCGAAGGAACATGTAAAATAGAAGAAAGAGACATAGAAGAAGACAAAGGAACAAAACCAGCTCCTAAAACTGGTGTGGACAAACCATTAGCAACTTTAACACTACTCCTAGAAGGATTAAATTTTGAAACAAACCGAGTTAGGTTATTAGTCATATGATTGGAGGCCCCTGAATCAATAATCCAAGATTGAGTACAAGGGATGGAAGAAATACTCAAGGGATATCCCAAATTACCTGTATTGGCCAAAGAGGTAGAAGCATCAACCTGGGAAACTTGCTGAGACGGTTGAGTTACCGAAGAAGGCAAAGAAAGTTGTGGTGCAATTTGAGTGTCACCAGAAGTATGATGAGCTTGAGACCCAGAGTTGCCTCCCTTTTTCTTGGCATTCTTCTTCTGAACATACCAGTTTGGATATCCTTGTAGCTTAAAGCATGTTTCTCGAACATGTTTAGTACCATTAAAATAAGTACATCTCCGAGTATCAGAGGATTTGAAATCAGATGAACTGGAAGAGGACCTTCCTAGAGGAATAGTGGTACCAGCAGAAGGAATCACCGATGCAATCTTAGGAGAAGATCCCACTTTTAAGGTTGAGCTATCATTGAATTTTCCCGCCATCATAGTTAGTTGACGAAGTTCCTCACGGCGCACAAAAGCATAAGCATTCTGAATACTTGGAAGTGGATCCTGAGCCAATAGTTGACTCCTAATTTGGTCTAGACTGGGATTTAAACCAGCTAAAAAATCATATAAACGATCCTCCTCAATCTGTTTTTTCATTGTAGATGCATCTTTTGCACATTCCATGGAATAAGGACGAAGATAATCCAATTCTTGCCAAATAATTTGAAGTGCAGCATAATACTCAGTCAAAGTCTTGCCATTCTGACGGGTCTCATGTGCTCAGCAACGGAGTTCATACATCTGTGAAGCATCTTTGCCAATAGAAAATGTTTGAGCAACTGTATCCCAAACATCAGAGGCAGTGAGCAAGCGGAGAAATACAGCCCTAATTCCAGGAGCCATTGAATTTAGCAACCATGACTTAACTATGGCATTCTCCTCCACCAAAGTAGCATAAGTAATAATATATTTTTCATTAGGCTTAACCTTGGTACCAGTCAAGTATCCCACTTTCCCTCGACCTGTGACATATAACTCCACACTTTGGGACCAAGTGGAAAAATTGGAACCATCTAATTTATTCGAAGTGATTTGTAAGGACAAGTGGTCCTGATGAACAGTAACTGAGGCAGACACTGGAGAGGCAAAAGTTGAATCTCCTTTGTCTTTTGAGTCACCCATTACTTATAGCACTTGAAATATATATATATATATATATATATTGACTAAAGAACACAGCAATGCAAATTGTAAACCCCAAAAAATTATAGCAACACAGATTGCAAAATTCAATAAGAAGAATAGTTGCAGTAGAGAAAACCCAAAAAAAAAAAACTCGCTGCACAAAAGGAGAAGAATGAAGTCGGCGACGAGTCAATTCGAAAATAGATTGTCCACCACCTTCAGATCAAGCCGAGAGGGTCTGGGTAAGTAAAATCGATGATTTGCCGATAAGCCGTGGCGGAAATCAGTAGTTAATTTGGCAAAAAATTGACAAACCAAGCCAATTGGAAGCAAAGATAAGGCCGATGACAAGAACTGATCGATCGGAGAGAAAGACAAGCCATCGGCAAGCAGAGTACAGCCAGCAGCAGGTGTGATTTTAGGTATTTAGAGTGACGGTAAGTATGGGTATGGGTAGAGTTTAGACAAATTGGTGACTGCTAAGGTAAATCAGAAAAACACTAATCATGTAGGCCCTGATATCATGTCAAAACTAGAGAAAAATAGGGAGAAAAATCTTACTATACACATATTAAACATATAAGGTAAGTATTAAGTTTACAAAGTCAGCTCTAATCAACTATGCTAATTATGCTAATAGATGAAAGGTAAATCCTAATCAATCACGTTAACAAGTCACATAGAGAGGGAGCTGGAGCAAGCACGGGTGCGAGAGAGTGACAAAATTAAATTTTTTATTGGAGTGGGAGTCTCTATGTACATGTATGCCAACATATATATATATATATATGTCTAATATAGTATGTTCATAAATATTCTCTCTTTTTTTATTTATTTATTTATTTTTATCTATATGCTGTATGTAATTATGTGTTCAATACACATATGTATTTATATATTCATACCATCTTTTACTTTTTATTTCATTCAAGAATTTTTTTATAATTGTTCTCACTAACGGATATTATCCTAATTTTCATACATGGATGGATTAATAGAAGAAACCCCAAAAGATTGGGCCCTTTTTTCAAATATAATATAAAATGTAATAACCTTTGCCAATGTCCTGTTTCACATTGAACAATAGTGTATGGCAGAGTGGAGTGAAAGGGGTTTCTTTTCGATCAATTCAATCTTACCAAGGATGATCATTAGGTGGCAGTGTCTTTCTTCTTCTTTCTAGTTAGTTGCAGAAACCCAGATTTGAGAATTTGAGGTAAAAAAGTTAAAAAGCTACGGTTAGGATGTTGGAGGGTCATCAAACAATAAAAAACTTATTTACGCAGATTGGTTGCATCCAAGATGAATTGGCAGATTGGAAATATTCAGTTCATGATTTAGGGCCGCATCCGCTGTCAAAGTGGCGATTTGCGGTCAGAGCCATGGAGCGGCCCCCTATACTGACGAACGGTGTGACTTAATTTGTGAAAACTGACCCATCCTCTGGTTGAAGGGTATCTATCATTGACAATGTACTTTATTTGTGGTTCATGCTATCTGTAAATGTTTACACTTAATAAAAAAAAATGCTATCTGTAATTTATCTGCTGCTCTCCGTAAACTGCATCATTCAAATCTCTCTTGCATGGTCATTGGGTCATCATTAATGATCAATTAAGTGATTGTTGATTTGACGCTATGCATGCACCTTTCAGGCTATCGAAAGGGGGGGAAACTTGACAACTCTTAATGACAAGACTGAAGATCTCTGTAATTCGGTTAGTTGACCCTTATTTGCTTCTGAAATTATAATCTCTAAATTTTCCAAGAGATGTTTTACATGTTCCCAAACTATCAGTGAATTTATTGTCCATTCCTCAGATTACTAATGATCTTAATTGTTATGAATTGTAAAGCCATTCATTCTTGCTCCTTTCAGGCCCAAACATTCAAGGGAAATGCGACTCAGATCCGACGAAAGATGTGGTATCAAAATATGAAAATAAAGTTGGTAGTTCTTGGAATCATTTTAATTCTAATCTTGATAATATGGCTTTCGGTCTGCCATGGTTTCGACTGCACCAACTAGCATGTCCTCAGCACACAATCGGACCACTCTTGTTGAATCATGCACACCCCAAAACTTAAAGTTGAGAATTCATTTGAGACTTGAAAGCGGTCACTGAATCACAAATTGGAGGAAAGATTCTTTTTTATTTTTTTTGGGTTGGGGGGAGATGTGCCATAGGGTCTGGTCAAATGGTATAGACATTGTTACCCTTCTTATTGTTCGATTTGTTGTATAAATTTTTATGAGTGTAATAGAAGTATATTATTGGGAAATTATTGTTCTGTTCATAATCTGCTCCTTTGATGGCCATGTTGAAAATGAATGTTTTCTTCCTATGTGAAGCATATACCAGTGACAGATTTTTCAGCATATATGTAAAACTGTGTTTTACAAATGGCTAGTTGCTGCTTTAGCTTGTTTCCAGATTTAGTGCCACCTGAGCATTAGTTTTGTTTCAGACCCGCTTCTTAGATGTTGTATAGATAGTATAGATACAGACCAAATTAAAGTCCATGTGTGCATAAATTCATGTCTGAAACTTAACAGTCAGAGTTGAAATATTTGATTATAATTATAATTTTTTTTCCCCAATAACCGGGGTGTCCGACTAATTTGCGGAACTTGTGCAAGGTGACCCCTCCACATGATTCGGGTAAAGCTCGGATTATGTTCGCGATCGTGGTTTCTAAGAAATTAATCGCACTTGAGATTGGAACTTAAAACTTAATGCATCACGAGAAACCAAGTCCTAGGCTTCACCACTGGAGCCGACCAGAAATTGTTTTACCTTTAAATTGAACTAATCCTCTTTTTCACCAACAATTTGTCAACTTAGCCCACTTGGATAGCTCGGATGAGGTCTTTGGCTAGAGTTAATGCGATCCATGTGAAACCTAGAGTTAATAATCCTAATGAGCAATTTTCTCATAAGCTGAAATCCTGGTAATATTTGCTATTATCTACTTGTAATAAGTTGTCAGTAAAATGTTTTACATTGAAAAATAATCTCCAATAGGCCTTTTTACATGAAAAAAATCCTTTTCCTAATTTTAATTTTTAGTGTTTGGTTGATATTTTGAAATTTTTATTTTTTTTATTTTTTTTAATCAATTCTTAAGGGGGAACAAAAAAAAAATAAAAATAAATAAAACACGAGAGAAGTAGAAGGGGCTCTCTTTATCTTTTAAAATTTTATCACAAATGTAGTTTATTATATTATTAGATTATTGAAAGGACGAAAATGTCCTCCGCTGAATTGGACGGACACTTCACACAGGACACGCCATGTCACACAGGACGCGCCATGTGTCAACAACATAAACCTGATCCACAAGGTTAGATGGGCCGCGCAGATTGGATAGGCCCACATGAGCGAACGACAAACAGACTGGATCGGCCCAAAAGGAAAGAGAGGCCTATTAACCCAAAGATTGGAGATCAAGCAAAGAAAAATAGGGTACGACAGAATGTGTATAAATAGAACAAGAAGAGGAAAAAAGAGGCAAAGTGTTTGGTATATGAGAAAACTTTCAATCAATAGAAATAAAATATTATTGTACGCACACTTTCGAGTAGATCAATTCCTTCGAACTTTATTAGCACCTTGCTACCCTCATTGCGGACTGTGTTGACGTTGCCGAGCCTTCTTAGCATGTGCGCTTGTCTAAGGCAGGATCGATGGACCTTTTCTGGCTCGTCATCTCCCTCTGGCCTTCCATGGATCGCATTAATGATCTGAACATGTTGCCCTTCATGGGGGTGGGCTCTAGGATTTCCCTTAGCGTGATCGTTTGGGCATGCCTGCTCTTTCACCATTAAGTAGTTACCTAGCTCTCCCTTGGCAATTAGTGCCTTAACTTGTCTCCTCAAGTTTCAGCATTCATTCGTCTGATGCCTAAAGTCATTGTGAAAGGCACAGTGTTTGAATTGATCCCTTTGCTTAAGCGGCTACTTGATAGGCGGTGGTGGTCAGAATTTTCCCTTATTCTCTTGGTACAATCGCACCAGCTTTGTCTTGAGAGGGGTAATTGTCTCATCCTCCCACTATCTTTTCTTAGCTCTCCATGGAGTTGCTTGTGGTTGTGAGATTGGAGCTCCCTAAGTGTTCATCCTGTCCTTGGTCCTGTTTTCCACAGTGACCATTGTTGTTCTTTACAGGCAGACCGCCTCCTCTTCCTCTAAGTGTATGTAAATTTGCGCCCTTGAATTGAGTATCCCCATAGTTGGTCGGGTTTTCTTCACTAAGGATTTATGAAATTTGGTTCCTCCGATAACGCTTCGACTGCTGCGATTTGATGACAATTGTCCACCATGCTCATTTCTAGGTTGAATCTGGTAAGGAAATCCTGAAATCGTTCACCATTTTGTTGTCTTATGGTGAACAAACTAGATATGGTTTTCTTAACTTGCTGGTTGCCGAAGTATTGGCCTACGAACAGATCACAGAGCCTTCGGAAACCACTGACCAATCATTTCGTAAGTGTTTGAACCAGCTGAGTGCTGGTTCGGTGAGACTCGTTGGGAATACCTTGCACATTAGGGTATCATCTTCAGTATCTAGAGCCATTTGTAATTAAATGTGGTACACATGCTTTGTAGGGTCTTTAGTTCCATCAAATGGTGTAAACGTTAGAATGGTGAACTTCTTCGGCCTCAGGGATCAGATGATCTCTTCGATCGGTAAAAGGAGACTCGACTGTTTGGGCAGATGCCTGGGCGACCTTGTCAGCCAACAATGGAGCCTTTGGTTCCCATTCTTGCTCTTTTACATATTTTCGGTTGTGAGTCCTTGGATTAGACTTGAAAATTTTGTCGAATGTCTGGTCTTCAGTCGATTCCTTTGGCGCTGAGAGGTGAGTTTCTATACGTTCCTCCTCCTGAGACTTCTCCTCCAGGATGATCTCTTTGCGCTGCGGATCCACATATGTGGATCCCATCCGATCCAATTACTGGTGAGCATCATCCTCGCTTGCGCCCACAACCTCCACTGGTGGATGCAGAAGCGGTGGCATATCTCTTTGCTCAATCATGGATCTGAGCTCCGCATTCTCCCGCCTTAGGATTTCAACGAGCTACATTAGCTCGTCATGTCTGGTTCGTTCGTTTTTGTTTTGTTGGTGTGAGCTTCCTTCTCTGATCATAGTTCCCGACCAGAGCTGAGTCATGATTCAATATGGAAATCGATTGATCTTCGTCCTTCGTTTCCCACATATGTTGCCAAAGTGTGCATACAAGATTATTTTCTTTCCATTGATAGAAAGTTTTCTCATACACCAAACACTCTGCCTAGCTCTTTTTTCCGCTTCTTATTCTATTTATACACATTTTGTCTTACACTATTTTTGTAACGACCCTTAAACTGATACCATTTAAAAAAAAAAAAAAAATTTGGCATGACCTCCGCTAAAAGTGGTCCTACAATAACCTGTTCAAATGAAAAAAATGCTACGGCCTTTCAAGACCAATCCAACCTGCCCTAACACACAATACAAAAGAAATATATTACATTTTCTAATACCACAACATTAACAACCTCCCTAAGTTAGCCCATCGTCGTCATCTTATTCAACTTAAGCATTTACATAGTCTCGATTTACAACAAAAATAATCAAAGATCTTAGTTATGTTATAGGGCCATGATTTGCAAAAATGAATACTCTTTTACATAGTTTAAGACTATACCAAAAAAATGGGCTAAGATACAAAAGATAATAAAATACAACTCCTAATATTCTTTAAGCTTGCGGGGGATTGTCATCCGCCACTTCTTTCCCGTTTCCTGAAAAAAAAATTTAAATAAAAGGGGTGAACAAAATTGCTCATTAGGTGGTGCCTAAGACACACCTCTTGTATCCCCGTGAATCCAAATAAGGAATAGGACAATAGGAATCAGGGTTATACTATGTCGGGAAAGTACAACATTAAATCCAATCTCAGCATACACAATATGATGCTATGATATGCAATGCATACCAATGTCGCTCCCCATTTTCAACATTCAAATCCATCACTTTCAAACTGTTAATATAACCTGCCCTTTGGTGACCCCGCAGCGACACGAGAGAAGGATTGGCTAGTGTCCCTGACCCTTGGTACCCCCGCGGCGTCATTTTGGGCCCAGCTAGCTCAACCACGCTAGGGCAATCTCCCTAGTTCCCTCAAGGCTATATTAACACTCCGGCCCTTTGGTACCCCCTCGGCGATCGGGTTTTCACAAAAGACTTTAAACAAAACTTCTTCCCAAAATTCTCCTTTTTCATTTCAAAACATTTTTTCCCATTTTCATGCTCAATGTTAGTGCATGGATTCTGATAAACGCTGAAAAGTACACTTTTAAACCCCTTAAACTTGAGTATTCTAGGTCCTTTATCTATCTTATTTTCCCGTTTTAGACTAATTTTGTATTATTTTCCTTTTTAGGTCAATAAAGCTAAAATGGGCTAAAAATGGTTTCTTAAGGCCTTTTTGGAGTCAAACTAAGTCTTGGTGAGAATTCAGAACAAAAAGAGGCTGATTTAGAGCAAAAAGAGGCTGATGCTGAAAAGCTGCCAAGTGAGATCGATCGTGAGATCGATCAGAAAAGTGAGATCGATCAAAGTTGGATTGATCAAAAATCAAAGTTGGATCAATCGAACTTTTACTGAAAGTTGGATCGATCGAAAATCAAAGTTGGATCGATCGAAGATTGCTGGCAGCGAGTTGTCTTATTCCGTGCGCGCCCAAAAGTCCATCTATCACATAGTACGGGATTAGATATTTTTGGGGCTATATTCCTGATTTAGTGACTAAGAAAAAGACCTTCTATATAAAGGGAAGTGACCCATTTGTAAAGTAGCTTTTGATCTTTTTATTTTTTACATTGTAATTTTTATTTTTCTCTCTAGAAAAGTTAGAGATTAGGGTTAGAAGAAAAGGGAGAAGTGGAGGCACATCTCAAGATCCATCTCTAGACCACTCTCTCTCTCCATCTCTAGAGCTTCAAAGAAGAAGAAGAAGAAGAGGAAGAAGAAGATGGAGCCATATTTGGAGCTTGATTCCATAACCACATCCACCTCCTCCATGATTGGTTAGATTTATACTTAGGGCTTGGATGAGCCCTAGTTCTTGTGTAATCTAAACCCTTGTATTTCTATTTTTGAGGATTTATATATATTATTGTGATTAGTGCTCTAGCTTTGTGAATTTAATGAATCTTGGTATATTTCTATGAATTCTATGGTTTAATTATTCCTATTAACTCTTTAATTTATTTACATGTCTATGTGTGATTAAA